GTATGGTCACCATGCTCATATATGCACGTGCATGCACGTGAAATGAGTAAAATCAAAAATACACTTAAATGAGAGTATTTTTTAATAATTTTGGATTAAATACTTTAATATTTAGTGTATTAAAACATATAGGTTGTGTAGACAAGATGATATGGTCATTACGCACATGCATTCACATGCGCACGCGTGCAATGTTAAAATTTGAATGAACTTGGTACACTTCTGGGTAAACGTTAAAATCTCAAATGCATAGAGTTTGTCTTATTTAATGAAGCTTACAGGGAATATGGCACCAAAAGGGAGTTGGGGAGCGTTTGGGGAACATCTGTAACGGTCCCCGTTACAATTAGCACTAGTTGCTATTGTGTTTAATTCATCAGTGTGCTAAACCTAGGTGAATGAAGCTCACATTGAGTTTTGATTGAACAATGGAGCAAACAAAAATGTTAAAACCCGTATATCTAAGGAACAGAGATATCCAGACGGACAAAAGCAACTATGTTACAGATTATAACTTAGAATGTGCGGTACGGTTATTTCAGATATCAAATGCATACAAAGGGACAGAGACCTATGGAGAATTTATGTAGAAACGCGTGAAAGTAGGAATCTTCTTGTATCGGAAGGCTTCGAACTACGAAATAAAACAGTTTCTGTTTTCGATACAAATCTCTTCGCAGTACAGTTAAGGCAACATTTTCTATAAAAAGTCACCGAAAACGATACAATTAATCTTTAACTATTTTATTTTTCAGCAAGACACTCTAGTTAAAAAAGCTTTATGGTATCTTGAAGAATATGTCCATCGTTATTCACCTAGGAATTTTTGTGATCATGTGACCCTCTAAAGTCACGTGGGCTCCGATTTTAGGTCAACAAATGAAATGTTAAATTTAACCAAAAAGTTCAAGGGCAAGGCAAACAAACAAATAACTGCACAGTGTTTTAAATTGTTCCTAGGTATCTATACTTTCGCAAAAGTGATGCTCATTCAGTTGGTTTTCCGATACATTTGAGTTATTCACCTGAAACAATCAGTAGTATATGAAAAATGGGGTATTATACGCCCGTCTTAAGACGGGACGTATTATGTTATAGGCTTCGTGTCCGTCCGTCCGTCTGTCCGTCTGTCCATTCGTGTCCGGCCCATAACTTTAATACTATTAGACTTAGAATTATCAAACTTATCAAACAGTTGATACTTCTTGGGTAGACGGTGTGTCGCGCACAAAAAGTAGGTTGCTGTGACCTTTAATAAAGATGCTATGGCCAAATATGGAAAAATCCTTTCCGGCTAATTACTAGAAAACTATTAGACCTAGAGCTTTCAAACTTGGCAAAATTATACATCTTAGGTAGAGGGTGTGTCGCGGCCTATTTCAAGGTCACTGTGACCTTAAATTTAAGTGATTTTTTAAAAAAAACAAAGTCTTTAAAATTTTAAATTTCAAAATACAAAAAATGTAAAAATATAGTTGTACCCTTATTTAAAAATGTTAAATCAAGTAAAAACTTATTTTTTCATCATATACTTTACAGCAATCTGTAACAAATGTTTATGCTTTGAGAGGAATTCAGTTTGTCCCATGGGCATAATTATCAAGCACTAGTCAAGAAGAATTTTGATAGCAGAAATTCACTGGTCAAATTAGAGAGAAATTAATGAGTTTATTGTCAGGAGCTAGCTGGTTGTTTTAGAACATCTCTGATAATCTGTCTCTTGGGAGTTGGGCAAAAAGAAATGGCCTCATAGTTGCTTGTGTTAATTAAGAGTTCTTGATGGCTATAGTCCAGATAAGGATCTTCCAATTGGTGTAATGTAATTGAAACAAATTTATGTTTTAGTGTATGATTAAACCTTAATTATGTTCCCCAAACGAAGTTTGGGAACATATTGTTTTTACTCTGTTTCTTATTATTATTATTATTATTATTATTATTATTATTATTTTTCTTCTTCCTGGGAAAATTTTGTCCACGAGTGATCTTGTAAACTACACATCCGACTTAGGTGAAACCTTTTTAGGGTCAGTAGGCATGTTATGTAGAGTTGCCAAACAAAGGTCATTTTGCGCGCACGTGCTTGCAAGAGCGCGCACGTGCAACATGTGAAATTACCAATATAATGGATATTGCCGTAACTTTTCTATTTTTTGATGAATTTTTTTGAAACTCATAATGTAAGGATACATTAGTAGTATAGACAAGATAGCATGGTCAAAATAGCAAGATCTCACGCGCATGCACGTGCGCTTTGCTCTGATTGGCTGAAATTAAAGTCTCAATAACTTTCTTGTTTCTTGTCATAATCCTTTGAAATTTTGAACGTAGTCCTACATTATGAAGATCTACCACATGATATATAAGAATTTTCATGAAAGCATGCGCATGTGCGCGTGCTGCAAACTGATTGGCTGAAACTTTAAATGGCAATATCTCCTTTGTTTTTTGACGAAATTCTTTGAAATTTAAAATATAGTCATGCATTAGGATATCCTACAAAATGATATAGAAAAAAAATCATGAAATCACGCGCATGCACGTGTGCTGCAATCTGATTGGCTGAAACTTGAAATGGCTATTTCTCCTTTGTTTTTTGACGAAATTCTTTGAAATTTAAAATATAGTCATACATAAGGATATCCTACAAAATGATATAGAAAAAAATCATGAAATCACGCGCATGCACGTGTGCTGCAATCTGATTGGCTGAAACTTTAAATAACTATTTATGCTTTGTTTTTTTGACGAAATTCTTTGAAATTTAAAAAATAGTCATGCATTAGGATATCCTACAAAATGATATTAAAAAAATCATGAAATTACGCGCATGCACGTGTGCTGAAATCTGATTGGCTGAAACTTTAAATGGCTCCCTTGTTTTTCAACTAAACAGGATGGGATTTAGAACATAGATAGATGTAAGGGACTGCTACAAGAAGGTATTATCATAATGCACGTGCACGCACGTGCGTGCATTTGAAACGAGTATATTTAAAAATACTCTTGAATGAGTGATTTTTATTACTTTTGGACTGAATGCTCTAATATATAGCATATTGAAATATATAAATAGTGTAGACAAGATGATATGGTCATAACGCACATGCATTCACATGCGCTTGGGTGCAATGCTAAAAATTGAATATAATTGATATCATTCTGGGAAAACATTGTTAAAGTCAAAAATGCACAGAGTTTGTCTTATTTAATGAAGCTTACAGGGGATATGGCACCGAAAGAGAGTTGGGGAGCGTTTGGGGAACATCTGTAACGGTTCCCGTTACAATTAGCACTAGTTAGTATTGTGTAATATAATTAAAACTAATTATGTATGTGTTCATTGAAAAAAAAAATACATGTCAATTTTTATATATTTGCAACAAATTGCAGTCATGTCTCACTTAGAATTTTATAGTCTAAAGAATAATAAATTTTCGTTTTTTTTTATTAGACTGTAGCATTTCCTTAAGTTCTAACACAGCCAGTTTAGAATTATATGATGTGTTATTTGTTATAATTAATCCCTACACTGTAAATCTCTTAGAGATGTATATATGTATAATATTTTAAACACGATAAGAAATGGAAATTAAATCATTGAAATCTGTGTCAATCTGTTAATCAAGGTTATCTGATTTTTTTGCACCATTACCAATTCATGATTATTGGACAGTATATTTGACGGGCGTATCATGCTGTGGCGGGGCACTTTATTTTCCTAATATCATCGGAAATTATAAATTACCTTAAGAATTACAGAGAAATTAGCATCACTTTTTGAAAAATATACAGTAAAATGAATAATTTAAAATAAAAACCTACTTATTAGATTGTCGCCTTGCCCTTGAACTTTTTGATTAAAAATTTACATCTTGGTACAGTCAGTCTAAATATAGTTTTCAAACGCATCGTTGACCCAGCATGGGAGATAACTCTTCCGTACTTGATAAAGTTTGTTTACCTCGTAGATTTTAAATAACCAGGCCTATACTTGCATAATGCGCCGGAATATTTTTACTTAATCGAACAGTATGCATAAAACACTGGATATTACTTTCTATTTTGTGACTTCGTTTTCTATACAATGTGTGAATTATGTTTGATATAAGACGTCTTTCAGACCTTCCGCATTTCCTCGAATCAGTGTAAACACACATGCAGCTAAATGTAGGTGTAAAGTTTGCCGCAGCATGTAATCTAAAACGCCGATTGTTAATAAAAATGGGAATATTCAATTATAATAGTCAATTGATAGCCTCCATCAATAATTAATTCGATAATCATACCCCTCTGTCACTAATGTACATACACTTGTGTACAAATATTTTTTTTTCGCATACAAGATTATATCATGGCTTTCTTTAAAACCTTCAACACCTATGGGATTTAAGTCATACGTTTTAAGAACTAAGACTAAGTGAAAAACATACAAATTCCTGTTTTTGTTAAAGGGACTACCATTTTATTCCAAAAGAGGGGGGGGGGAGATCTGAAATGTTGAAAATAAATATGTCCCAAATAGGATAAAAAAAAAATTATCTGCCCAAGACCAGTGTTCCCCCTCCTATAATTTTGTTTAGCTTGTCAGACATTTTTCAGTAGGGAGAAAAATAAATAATCTGTCCATCATATTGGAAGTAAATATTAGTGGACCTGTCCTTCATTGACATGAAAAGAAATAAGAAACATAATGACTTGGGAAAACTTGCCACCCCCCACTTCCCTTTAGAATAAAATGGTGGTCCCCTTTCTTGTTTTGAATCAATTATGGGGGCCTTTAATCTCCTTTTTAGTTACTATTACTAAGAAAAACAAATTAACACAATGTACATGCTTGAAAAAATCTTGATGGACATTGACAGCCTGGCACCACACAAATATATGCAAGTCAAGATTATCAAATCTTAATATCCTTTTAAACACCTGTACAGTAAGTACATGAATATGAAAAAGTCAAATAATTTTTTATGAAGAAATTTTATTTCATAAGCAGCTTTTTAAATTAAGATAGACTGTACAAGGAATACTGGGGGGCTGCAATTTTTTTCCATCACTTCATGTTCTTGTGGATGAAATCAATTCTGAAAATACATGTACATGTATGAGAAAATCAGGACATTCATGTAGTAACATACCATTACTAAGAGTAAATTGGTGATTAAAATTTAATTAAATTCAGATCAATGCATGGAAACATGCATTGGATGGATATATAATTAAATGTTTGCAATTCTACTGTTATATATTGTTTGCCAGGAATATTGCATGGTAATTTGGTTTAAAGCTAATATGGAGCATACCATTTTCCTTACATCTTGGATTAACTTGCTGCCTGATCATGAATGATTCCATTGGTTTAATTCTTTAGGAATATCTGCAACACATTATATAGGCTTTTGCTATGAGATTACTAAATAAAATACATTGTAAAGTAAAATCACTTTACATTTGACAAAACAATTCATGATATATTGTAAACTGTAGTGAATTAAAATTCATATAAAAGTTGAATGGAAACAAAGCTGTATTTATTTACAAAACTCTTCTGGGAAATTAAAACCTCTGACATTAACAAGAACAAATGATTAGAATATGAAAAAAAAACATTCTTCCATCTTTGCCAAAATGAAAAAAAAATATAGTCCTAATCATGCACACAAGCATGGTTAAAAAAATGTGAAATGCTTATTAGTGTACATACCCTGTGGAGAAATGGATGCATTTTGTATTTATTTATACTTCAAGCCTGGATCCCTTGACTACTACAATAATAAAAGTATAATATGTCATATGATTTTAAAAAAATTATGTATAAATTACAGAAATTAATTGATTTAAAAATTGAAATCATACTAAAAAAAATAAATATTTTATTCACCATTAATTTAGAAATTCTAAAAATTTAAACCCATAGATCTAAAGTGGAGGTTCTTTGTTTTCATCATAATGATACAAATAATATTTGTTACATTTAGCATGTTTGTATGCCAAAAAGACAACAACATTACATGTTCAGTAAATCATTGTCAACACATTGACTGCAGCAATGAAATTTCAAATTTAATTTAGTCTAAGTTTGTATTACTAATTATCACCGTTATTACACATGTCGTCTCAAAGAAAATAAGCTAATCGACCCTATATTTAGTACAAATTCATTTTTAAATTTTTAGTAAAACTAAGTGATCAACTTTATGTGGGCTGTTGGGAGGGGGGGGGCGACACACACTGCACTGCATTAGTTTTTCACTGACCATGATAATACATCTAAACACTCGCGATCGTTTTTTCTTCGATGTTAACAGAAGCATATCTACATAATGTTCAAACATGTGCATACATACCTGGGCTGAATGCACTGCAGTGATGGATCTAGGGAGCTGGTGCAGATCGTCGCACTCTTCCATTATTTTCTGTAATAATGTCCTCATATTTTCGTAATGGGGATAAACAATGCCTTGTCTCTTATCTTATCCCTAATTCTTTAAAGAATGTCTGATTATTGCATATAAATCCACTGCATATCTCAGCTGATGTCGCCACGTTTTTAGATGTAAACAACATTCCGTGTCATCGAGTGCAAGCGCTTGGCTGAAGCCGAATGCAGCCAAACGGCACATAAGAAATCGGATTATTTTAAAAACATGCCATTCTATATAGGAGAAAATCACTAATAATTATTTATTTAGACATGGAAATATTGCCGTTTGTTAAATTCTTGCAAATATCGGTAAATAGTTATTTTGAGCTCTATTTCCTTATGAGGATCAATCAGGGCGGGGCAACTGTAATGCCGTCAAACCTCATTATGACCTCATTACCATATTTTTTCCATGGGTTGCCTTAACCGTACTGCGTTTTCAGCAGGAACAGAGAACCCTTACGAAGAGGTTGTACAAGTAACAGTTAGGGGGGTCCCCTAAACACAATAATGATTTTATTTCTTTGTTCAGTCAAAAACAAGAAAAAAACAACAGGAGGTGCTATCTACAGTAAAAGCCCTTAAAACAATTGTTTCACGTAGTTCAATACAGAAAAAATAACAAGAGATGTTTGTAATACACTTATGCCCCCTCCCCCCAAATTGGAATTTATTAAGTCCAAAAGGGCATAACCCTATCAAAAAATGGCACGATTGTATCCAAAACAGAACTTGACCAAAATATTTATCTGATAAATTTGTATACCAAATTTCATCTCAGTAAGTGCAACCTCTACAAAGAAAATGAACAGAAACTGCAAATAATTGGAATTTTTCAAAGGCTAAAGGGACATGACTCTGTCAAAAATGGTGCGATCCTATCCGAAACAGCATTCACCTAGATATAACTCTGATAAATCTGTACGCTAAATTTCATATGTGTAACATGTATGTGCAATGGTTGTGAAGAAAATGAATGGGAACTAAGTGGACCGACAGACAGCAGCAAAGCAATATGTGGTGGGATGCACAAAAATGTAAAGCACATGGGCAAAATACACAGTAAAAATGATCATGTGAGAGATATCCTCTTCTTACCTCTGGATGTCTTAGAACAAGTTGTACAAATAAATCTTTTACAACTCATGTCGATATCTAAAACTCCAACACAAAATTAATGTAACCATCTTTTACAAGTACCCTCACACTGAATCCGAGATACTACATTGGAGATGTTTCAGTGGATTCAATAATTCTACAATCATTTTCAAAATCACATGGACTTGGTACCAACTTGGCTTACTAGTAAAAACAAAAAATTGCAAATGCATACCACCACATTTCATCAAACAATCATCAGACAGTGTACATACGGGATGACCAGCTGACCTAAAAGACTGGTCAAACTGAATACCTTCACATGAAAATGTTTCTACATTTAATATTGAAACAGAATTTTTGCCTTGAAGATTATTCTCATCCACCCCTCTAACAACAAATATGTGAGGGCCAATCACTTCTGTTGAATGGTATGAAACACCAACAGCAGGAGAATTGGCAAATATTAAAATCCATCTTCAAAATTAGTACATTTGATAACGGTATTCTGCGAAGATCATTTTCAGTCTTTGTAACACCGCCAATATACACTATAGACCTCATACCTTTGATATCCATAATGTTGGCAGAGTGATAAGCTCTTGGCTCAGGTCCTGACCAGGGGCGTAGTATCCGGGGGGGGCCAGGGGGCCTTACTTACACTATAGGAAATGTTAACTGAAAGCCTGGTTGGCCCCTCCACTTTTAGAAATGTACCGAAAATGTAGTATAAGAATTGGTACTAAAGTAGTTGACACTGAGAAAAAGTTTATACCTACTCCCCCCCCCCCCCCCCCCCCCCCCCCCCCCCCCCCCCCCCCCCCACGAAATAGGATTTTCGACTTTGGGCAAGTTTTACCTTTTTTTTTTTTTTTTTTTTGCTTGTCAACTTTTTCAGGTAAGTAAAAAAAAATTTTCTCTGCCTGGCCCCCCCACTTTCAAAAACGATGCTACGCCACTGCTGACACAGAAAGTTTGGTCCAAAAGAGACTTTCAAAATCAAACATATAAAAACTACTATCATTGGTTACATTTGTAAATAAAGATGAACCAACAAATGTATTTCTGTTTGGAAAACAAACGCCACCGTGTAAAATGAAACAGAATCAAAAATATGTGTAAGTGTATGTCCACACCTACCGGAGGGAATTTCACCCCCCAATTCTCGCAAAGAAATGCCACCTGGTGGCTGTACAATTTCAACTACACCTTTCTTGCCATTTAATTTGACAATATACAATTCATTTGACATAGAAAAACATGACAAATTGAGACCACCCAAAACAAATAAACAATTCTGAGGTGTAATATAAAAACCAGCACTTGACTGCAAGTGTGGAAACTGCCCACCTGAAAGCTTAACATTTACATCATTGTCATCAACAACAAAGGATACTCTTGCCCTCGTCTGGCACCACCAAAATATAAACAAGTATAACTATTGATAGGTAACGAAACGTGTCCTTCTGGTGGAAAATAATTCAATTCATCTGCTGCGGCACGTTTTCTTGTAATTCTTCGCAGAGGATTCGTTGAATGTGATTTAAAAGGCAATGCACGGAATTGTTTGTTAATACTCATCATGCACAGTTAATGTATTAAATGTAAATGAAGAAAAAACAAAAACTCCAGAACAGGATACATGTAAATAAACAGGAAACAGAAGAGGTTTATCTATATCTACCTAAGAACCCATCACCAAGAGTATACATGCATAAATACTGTAATAATAGAATGTGTTCTTCAATATACATATTTGAATTATGTATTTTAAACATGTAAAAAATTTACTGGGGATTAAACAAAAATGAAACTAGAGGTACTGTGAGCGATGAGCTCACTAAATGATACCCCCCGCCTCCCATATGGTTATAACTGGTTAAAAAGTCCATGTTTTCCTGTGGCCGGGAAACCTAAAATATGAGTCGGATCAAAAAGTAAAATAGGAGGTGCACAATGGCAATATGTAATTAAGATTCTGTGAAAGTTGCATCAAATTTCATTCAGTGGTATGAGAGGAGTTGCGGATATGAGATGGGTACCCCAAAGCGTAACAGACGGACGGACGGACAGACGGAAGGACGGACGGACAGACGGACGGACGGACAGACGTACAGACGGACGGAATTAACGATTACTATATACCCTCCCGCTTTTCAAGCGCGGGGTATAATAAAGGCTGCATATAGAGAAATGCAACTTACCAACATGTAGGTTAATTACTGTTTTTATACAGTATGCAGTACAGCTGCTTATAACTTTAGATTAGAACTATAAAGAGTGATGGATTGGCACTATTTTCTACAAGAAAAAATAACTTTAGTAAAATTTATGTCCATTGACCATGACATATCAAAAAAAATTTATCTACATTTAATCAACATCATTGCATCATCGAAAATCTAAAGTAATACACCTTTCTTACTAATTATCATTCAACCTCCTAAAAATACACTCTCCTGAACACTTTTAAATAAAATCAACAAAATATAACCTACCTTGTACATAACTGGAGCTTAAAAAACAATCGAGAGGTGTCGATCACGACAAAATATTACGATGACGCCAAAACCGGAGGTGTAGGAGTTATCGTTCCTATAACCGGAAATAAAGCACGGATTATTGTCCTTAGACATGAATTATCGTTCTTAGCAGGATACGCCAAATATAGCGGAAGTTTGATAGTGTGTTGTCAGGTCACGAAACGTCGGGGTCCCGAAACATCGCGGTCCCGAAACATCCAGAATTCGTTCATCCTTGTGTGCCACCCTTCAACCTGAAAAAGTAATGTTTAAATTATTATAATTACAGTACATATTTATATATTTTAATTAAATTACATTTACTTACATTGTATAGATATTTGATTTGAAGTAAATTTTACAAATCAATATTTACTTATAGAAAAAACTTTTAAATTGATATAAATGGAATTTATTGTTAAACATCATCATGATGATTTAACTATAAACTTCATAAAAATATTACCTCATTGTTAGTCCGGATGGACTGGTTGAAGGTGCACCTGGATTACACAGGCCAAGTGTTGTTGTCGATCCAAGTCAGGTTGACGACTCGAGGGTCCCTCCTCCCCCACAGAGTTGCTGATGCGCTGAAAAGCTGGAACGATGTGAGAGGAAGGGCCATCAGGTGCCAGACACACTTGTTGACATTGTTGCATCTCGGTATGCAACATAATTAAAATAAATGCAAATTTAATATTCTGAAATTGAAATTTAAAGATTTTCTTATGAAATAAAAACATAATGATAAGATAATTATAAGATTCTTGCGTATCCCTTTTTATATCACATGTATTTATATCTATATAAATAGAAATTTGTGTTTAACACTTATAATAACTATTATATAAATATAAATACATGTGATATAAAAAGGGATACGCAAGAATCTTATAATTATCATATATTACCTGTAGTCCGTTCTCCTGGACTTTGCTGAGGACTGCCTTAGACCAGTGGAATACGCAACCACGGATCCTGGCTTCGGGGAAGACGTCCTTCAGTCCCTTCCAGATACCACGCTCGAAGTCAGCTGTGAATAGCTCCACTGCAGGGGGGGGGGGGGGTAGGAAGGCAATCCACAATGGACTTGAACACCTGATATAAATAAATGAAATGAAATAAACATTGTGTCTTAAAAGTCATATAAAAACGATATGTTAAAGAGTATAATTATAATCATATCTTGTGAATCTTCTTTTAAAAATTTAAAGTATAAGAATCTTATCTTAAGATTTGAATATTAAAGTATCTTGATTGTCCATTAGATGAAATATGAAAAATACCTTTCTGTAGTCTTTGGCATGCTTCCCAGACATCAGGGCGAAAGCAAGTGGCACCTGCTTCCAGGTTCGATAAAGTCCTCAGCAAACTAAAAAATACAAGAGGCCCTCGGGCCTTATAGGTCACCTGAGTATCATGTATCAACTTTCCAGTGATTATATTTGGTTCGAGTTTTAATCCAAAAGCCATGAAATTCACAAATTTTGAAAGAGGCACCATTGCTTATCAAAGGGCAGATTTCATAGCATTAATTCATTTTTAGTCAAAGTACCCCCCTGGTACCCCTGACCCCGCAGCCCTAAGAAATTATCTATTTTGAAAGAGGCCCCTTTCTTCATTATAAGGCCAGCATTTTTTTTATGTTTAGATTTAG